TTCAGAATAAAAAATTATAGTAGTTAGATCAACAGAATTTACCTCAGTAATTCTTAGCCTGTACTATCAATATACATACACAAACTTTTTAAGCTTGCACATTCCAAATTCCTGCTATGACACACCTATGTCTCAGGGTTCATCCTGTGTAATCTCTCCTCCTAGTCCTTCCTTGGTTTAAGTAAATTAATTCAAAGAAGGTACCTTAGAAAAAAACACATACAATTTCTTTGCAGCTAAACAAGTAAAACCAGAAACTTACCCCCACTTAACAGCTTCATAACCAGCCAAAGTTCATCCTTCACCACAAAAGATGTGTAATAGGTCACCACGTTGGGGTGATTGCATTGACTCATTGCTTGAATTTCTTTCTGTAAGAAATAAAGCCCATCATAACACAGCCAGCTATCAGTTTTTCTTCCATAGAGAAAGTTTCAAAGTGAAATACTATAACAAAACTGAAGTATGCACAGAATTTGCATCAAGGCATCAAAACATTTCAATTTACCTACAGACCCGCATGCAAGACAAAACATTATTGCAAAGAATACAAGGGAGATTTGGCCAGGAGATACAGGCATAATTACATCAATTTTCTTCTAAGAGCAGAAAAAAAATTACTGATAAATTTCCAGTTCAGAGTAAGCAATGAAGAATAAGCAGTCTCCAAGAGCTGAAGGTGTAGGCACAGGCTGGACAATAAAAGCCAAGGAAAGATCAAAATCCGCCTTTCCTGCTCAAAAGGGATATGGAAAGAGTAGAATGGGAGCAGGTGAGAAAGGAGGAAGGAAGCTGTCAGACGAAGGACACAGCACCACTGGCTCAGCTACTGTGGAATGGACAGGTAGACACCAGAGCCACGCAACCAAACAGAAGAGCAAGAGGAAAATGCAGTATCACAGACCAAAGGGCAGAGGAAACAATTGACTAGAGGCACACACAGCACCAACATGTGGCACTACAAAGTAACACCATCTATGACACGCCACAGCTGTACACATTAAGAATGACTGCCTTGTATCTGTTATTTCAAGCAGAGTCCTTTTTCTTTTCATTCTTTCACATAATTGTTCTGTAACACCTTTCCAGCAGCTCTCATCGTCCTGCCAATCTTTTACGTAGGCGCATTTAGGCCTCCTTTGTACCTGAGGGTTTGGCCTTACATCAACTGGAGCTCCCACAACCCTGCTTCTCCTGCTCTGCCTTCGGCTACACAGCCCTGGTCCATCCCTGGTGCCAGAAGACATGCTCCTGGAGGGTGAGCTGGTCACGGAGCCAATCCAGCTAAAACCCAAACTCTTCCACCTCCCCTCACATCCTGAAAGGCAACCACTTTCAGGTGGACCCGTGTTCCACACTGACTCACCAGCACTGGTGCAAGGCAGGCACTGTGGCAGTCCTACTGACACTGATTAAAGCTGCCAGAGATGCCATTCTCAACATTCAACTTCAACTCAGCAAGTGTTTCAAAGCGAAGGGTTTTGTTGTTGTTATTTGCAATGTATTCGAGATCACAGTCGCTTTCTAATAAAAAGTTAATGATATGTATTAAGACTCTGATTTAATCTCGTGATGCCTGTTCATGACTGTTAAGTCAGCTCACAGTTTGACGCACGTTTCAGCTAGTCCTGTTGTCAAAAGTCCTCCTCCTTAGATAACTTCTGAGCCCTAAACCACAGAAGGATGAACACCTGGATAGTCATCCAATGAGCCTGAATAACTGAGCAATTTGCAAAACAGCTTTTTTTTCCCCTCTCCCCAGGAGACAGTAGGTGGAAAACAGAAAATAGGTATGTAGGGCACATTTCCCTTTCGCAGAAGACATGTCAGCTTAAACACAAGTCAAATTACTACCTCAGGTTCTTAATTCAGCTATCCATACCAAATCTTAACTGTAACTCTCTCATTAGTTATTACTATTTCATTTCTTATATTGTCTTATTGTTTTCCTATGCTGGTAACATAGCAATAGCTCAAAAAGTCTATCTGCCGGTACTGGGCAAAAATACACCTCCGCTATTTTACTCACACATTAATAGCGCAGAAATGTAACTAATTGACTGAGGCAGGCTTCCCTATCTTTAACTGAAAAGTGCTTCGAATACTTTGTCTCCTGCATCAACTTGTCAGCAAAAATCGAGCTATCACAGCGACCGTGGCCAAAGGCACCTTTTGTCTCAGCTTTGGTGACTTTTTTCAAATAGAGTCTTTGCAAAACAAAAACGAACAGATAGGAAACACTCCATGAGAGAGAAGGAATTAAATTTTAGTCAGGAAAGTATTAATTTCAGACTTGCAGTACTGGAGAGCCCCTGTCACACACAGAATGGCAAGCCTCCACAAACTTCAGTTATTTGGCTGAGGCCCATGATATGCACAGGTGAGAGGGAAAAGCATTCACTTAAAATGCACTGTCAGAGGAAAAGTTTGCAGCAGGATGTCCAGGAGAACCCCACGGAGACTTCTTCACATTCACATAACTTCAGACATTCAACAGCACCAAAGCCATAACAGCACTTAAATTTTGAAGGCTCTCCCTCATCCCTCTGCTTCTCTGTCCCTTGTGCTAGCAGAAGTGTTTGCGCCTGCATCAGGAAACATGCTCCAGTTAAAAGTAACTTCTTCTTGGCCAGGTTATTCCTGATCCAGTTTCACTCAGCAGCCACACAAAAATGTGTGCCAGCCTAAGGGCAGGTGGATGAAACAGCTAATAAGCAGCTGCGAGACAGCTCCTTTGGGCGCTCAGCTGCAGCACCCGTGGGGCCAGCCCAGCGCTCAGTGACCACCAGGCAGGTGCTGCAGCTCTGCGGCTGCTTCCCCAGGGCTTCCTCCAAGGACACCCAGGGTACGGCTGTTGGAGGGGTTGGACATGAGATGCGAGGGGCTCCTCCAGAGAGCCTGTCTCAACGGGCTACCCAGAGCAGAAATGCAAAGAGTTTAGAAAACCTGTTCAATCAAATAAGTCGCTCTATAGAACATCCTTTGGTTTGTAGTGTTGAGTTTTTTGGGTTTTTTTAAAAAACTGGAGGTAAGGGTATGGGGTAAGATGACCAGTCAGGACAATACTAAGGACAGGAACGTTTTCCTTGGCTTACGGGGTTAAGTTACATTTAGCTTACAATAGCAAGAACACAGGACACTGCAGGAAACAGAGTATTGAATTTCAGGAGTTTGGCAGTTTGTGTAACCTTAGTATTATTTAAACTCCCTCCCACACTGCCTTTCTATTTTAATTGACACTGGTCCGAATCCTAGGTCTGCTTACGTGGGCACCAGGCTTGCTGCATTTTCCACTTCTCTGAAGGCCACACAGCTGAGAATTTGTGAAGGGTGCCTTTGCACACCATCCGTAAGCACTCAGCAGCAGGATTTTACAAAACAGCATGTTCAGAGGGCAGACTGTTTTAGACATCCCTGTGCCAACGGAAACTGATCAGAAAAATAAGTGATTGAAAACTGAGCAGACTCAAAAACAGTGTTAAAAAAAACAAAATGCAAGAGCATTCTAAGTATTATCAACAGAAATAAAAATGTTAGTACAGTTGTAACGAGCTTTGAAGGTCAATGACGCCCTTTTCCAGAATAACATCTCTATTTTTTAAACAAAATTTTGAAATCTATTAGAAATGAGTCAATGAGTCAGAGTAAGTATGCTTCCCATCACAGAAAATAAAAGAATTCATTATTATGTGCATGCATATATAAAAATAAAAGGAATCATACGCGGCCCTTGTTTTTGGTTTGGTTTGTTGTTTTGTTTAGTTTTTGTTTGGTTGTTGTTTTTTTTTTACCTTCCCAACCAGGAACTCGGAAAGCCAGAATTCATGTTCTGATCAAAACAGATCAATAAATAAAAGAAACATAAAATCTGAACACAGAAAAGCAGAAATTGACTTACGTTAAAAAATAAAAAAAGATGGTATGGACAGTTGCCTTCGTACCAAAAGAAAGCAATATGGGACCAAAAATTCAAGACCTATTGCCTCATTTGGCAGACAGTGGAGACGTGTCAGCAGACAAGAAACTCAAGCAGTTGCTAAGGTAACTTTTTACAAGCTGGTAACTAACTGCAGTCATCTCTCTAGACCACCTGAATATCTCTTGCAGATTTCTGGCAGTTTTGTCTGGTTCTATTTGTTGTAACTTTTTAATTCTTAATTCCCATTATTAATTCAAATTCTAACCCAGAAAGATCAAATTTTGTCCATTTTATATTACAATGATTAGTATTTCTGGTTTTATAGAAATGTTCTTTATGGACTGTAGATGTTAATACATCATGCACAGCATCTCACCTTGGGCTGTTCTCTTTCTAAACACAGCTCAGAATTTATCTTTTGATTTTTCAGTTGACAGAAGTCTCACTACCTCAGAGGTAGTTTCCACTACCACAATCCTCTTTGAAAAAACACAACAATGTTCCTTACAAGCTGTTACATAAACTGAAGGCGAACACCATCAATCATCGGGGAAGAGCATTTTGGGTCCTCCACTGTAAAAAAGCCATTTTATCTGAAGAAACTGGATGGACCATACCCTCTGTATCAAATTCAAGATATCTTTTGCACTGGCAATTCCCTGCTGAGGAGATCATTTCCTTCAGAGGTAGGAATTTCTGCATTAGAAAAAGCCCACAGTCTCTAGGCAGTAGTATAACCTGTGGAACAGAAGAGAGTGTTCTCACTTTTAGAATGGTTTTGTGTCCTTCAACTCTTGTTTTACTGCCTATATATAAATACGCATGAGTCTTATAAGCACCTGACTAGGAGCCTTAAAAAGCGAAAGGTTTCGCTTTTTAACAGTTCTTTGTGACTGTCTGGACTGCCATAACCAGTGCAGAGGAAAAACTCTTGCAGTCCCTTTTACAAAGGGCCTCTTAGAGGTCCCTTCCTTCTCTGATCAGTGACCCAAACAAACAGCATTCCTCAAACACCTTGTTATGGCCTATCAGATAAATGCGTGTTATTAGCTTTAACAAGAGTTTCCTTGTGTAGACGGCAGCGTAGCCATTCCTACTTTTCCCGTCAAAAGTTATCACTACAAAATGATCCAACAACTAGTTATGTTTTGGTGCTTTAGACATTTTAAGGAGACCTACTAAATTTTCCCTTTACATTTTTAATCAGTGTTTAACCAAAGAAAAATGTATCCTTCCTCGGTGTTAAGACAGATAACCAGACAGTAATCTCTTGAAAATCGAGTCTCCAGAAAGCAAGGGGTCAGGTTCTTCCCACTGTTCTCAACAGTTGGCTATCCCAAGATTCAAATTTACACTTCTTGTTTTGGTGGCATTAGAAAATACACACTAGTAAAACATATTTTTAAGGGAAGGGCATACTTCTTCCAGATTATTTTCAAATCCTTCTCTCACTATTATCCTGCATAAAATTCTATCCTCACTCTCGGACCAAGCAAAAACTAAAATCAAAATAGAATATAGTCTCTATGTAATATATTCTCCTCCGATTTACTTACAAGTAATTCATCCATACTGGTTTGGCATTTTTCTAAGTTGATCCTCTTTATTGCTACGCGTTCTTGCCTGGGTTTGCATAGCGCTGCCTGGACAACTGCTGTAGCACCACTACCTGAAAAAGGGCAGAAAAGCAACACAGTCTTAACATAACAGGAGTTTAAATCAGTGACCAACAGAAGAACCCTACACAGACGAAGAACTTAAAATCTGCTGTTTATCCTTCTACAGTGCTTTCGCCACATGCATACCTTTCCACTAGCAAGACAGGCTGCACACTTCTCAAATGGAGAAGAAAAACCTCAAAGTTTCTGTTCCATACGCCACAAAAAAATTCCCAAGCCAAAAACTTAAAATGCTGTGCTCATTTATCAAGTCACACCCACCACCTCAATGCATGTCATAGTTTGGGAACCATTACACTTTTGTCTTTGGACACATCTGTTTTAATTAAGAACATGACTTGCACAGTTAACACAATTTAAATCATTACGCAGGGCGGGTAGGGAGTATGTGCTTTATCAAATGTTATTTCTTCCTGTTCTTTCAGGTCAGTCCCTGTTTAACCAGATTTTTGTTCCCACTATGCAATGAACAGAAAAACATCAGTAAAATTGTACATGCCAAATCTTCTATGGTTTCACCTGTGTTCCTGCTCATTCATCATGATTAGGTAACATCCTACAAAAAGCATGCTAATTCTTATAATGCGCGCAGAAGGCACAAGTATCACACCAACAGTAAGAAGATGCCCGTTACTGAATGGCCCAGCAGAGAAAGTCAGTCATGTTTACTTGACATGCAAATCACATATGGTCATACAACTACACTGATAACAAAGCTTGGTGGAACTGAACAAATGTTGGGGAAAGCATCAGAGTAATTTTATTTAGTACGCTTTATTTGCAAACAGCAGGACTGAAAGTTCTTGTTGCTTCTTTTATCAAGCACCCATTGGCTTTGCCCTAGTCAGTATTGCCTCACTAAATTAATGAAACGATTGCAAGTAATATTCATAAAGAGTTTTGCCTGGGTTGCACATCTTGCTGCCACATCAAATACAGCAGTGTGTGCTTCCTCAAAGTAATTACATCGTACTCATTCATGCAGAAATCTAAAATCCCCCGACACGTAGCTCCTACCTGTAAATCTAAATATTTTAATATAAATTACAGATTTCTGGGAAGTCACGAATTGAGCAACATGTTATACTGGCCTGCTCATACACTATGTTCTATTTATGCTCAGTAATTGGCATGTCCTAGATGAATACAAATTGTGAACAAAAAGCCTTTTGTTGTCAAGCTCTACAAACGTGGATTCAGTTACCAGCCGACTTAAGAACAATTGAAAGCTTTTCCCTCTGCACATCTGAAAACAGCACTGAGAATACCTCATGACTGAAAGTTATTGTCTGTGTTTTAATTGCTATTTGCTTAGCTATTTTCATGTATTGTTTGCTCACATGATGTTTTCACTCAAATCACAAAGCTTTTTAACTCAGTGTATGGATTTCATTACAAAATTCTGAGCTCATCTTAAAAAAAAAAAGTCTCAACAGGACTAACTAGTCATGTTTTTGCAGGATGCGGTCACAGACAAATATTGACATGTCCTGTTCTGTCTGCTTACAGAACAAAGACTTTAAAATTCCAATAATGTAAGCAATAAAAGAATTAAGAGAGATTTTAAAAATTAAGTAAGACATTCCAAGGAAGGAATCACCAAGTCAGCACAATTCAGCTCATCAGACTCATCTACATCACTTCACTGAACTTCTCATTTGGTAGACATCGAGACACAAATCCTCTCCTTACTTTGGCTACATAACTGTAGGTTGAGGCAGGGGGAAGAAATCAAATTTTTAGCTATTAAGGACACAGGAACAAAGACCAAGATTTTCCTTGATGTATCTTCATCTATGTCTGTAGTTTTATCCACTTGTAGGAAACACCTAGATCTTCACTTTCAAAACAGATTTATATACAAAGGCCACATAAAAGACAAACAGAAAAAGCACACAGAAAAATTATTCAGCCAACACCAGGACGAAAGCCTGACTGTTTCCTCAAGGTAAAATAAAATGACAGTAAGTAACATTTCAAAACATTTTGGAAAAATTAGATTACAAAAAAAATTCCTGCCACATACCTGACCCCACCCTACTGTACCACCTGCTTAAGTTCTGTGAGACTCCAAATCAAAGACTATGTGCTTACTACTATTTAAAAACCCTTGATTGCAAAATTAATCCTGAGCTATTCTTATGCACAAGTTGAAGATCTGTTCCTCTTTTGCCTACTGAAAGAGGATGAGATGTGAGATTTCAGGACGTAAACTAGAGTTTGAAGTTTATTTATATGAAGTCTTTCAGCGCATTTCCCTGTGTTTTCTCCTCGGATAGAGATGACTTGCAATGGGATATTCTTCACCACAAGAATATAATGCACTGACAATGCAAAAAACATTCTATGTTTAGAATAAAGCCAATCTACTTGGTTTCTTCTTTCCCCTGCCTTTCAAATACTCTACACAATAGAGTATTTTGATAGTAAAGTTAATCTGAGCAGCCTGCATTCTCAGTGGGACCTATATATAATACCAGTTTGAAAAAGCAGTTTCAAGTACTGAAGCAGGAGCCAGGCACTTAGTGGCTATATGCCTCTCCTCCTCTGGCTCCCAAAGTGAACAACCAAAGATGAAGAAAATCTGCAGCTTTTCCATCTGGTCAGAAGACTCCTTTTGTGTCAATAAAGAGATGCCCTTCTCTAGTCTTCTAAACAAGCAGAAATCTGAAGTGTTCCAGAGGAGTAGCTGTTACAAACAGTACTACACAGATAAGCATTTCAGTTGAGAGATAACAGACTACACGAGTAATGCACTATCGTACAGTGAAAAAAAAAATTGTCATAGACAAACATTTAGCGTAACAAATCAGGGTCACAGAAAATTATTGCATAGAACAGACTACAGTCAATCATTCCTTGTCAGAAGGCATGACTTCTTCAGATACACTGAGCCTTACAAGTCTTCCAAAACCTTCACAGTGAAGAACACACTAACTACACCACAACCAAAGCACAGACTGGTTTTAGCATCCAGTCTCTATTTAGAAAACTGACCTAGTATAACGAAAGCTCAGGTTGGATAAACCATGAAGCATTTATATCCAGCTGTCTTCTGCAGAAGAACAAAACAAAGGATTATCAGTGGTCAGACTCAAAAAAAAAAAAAACAGCTTTGTAAGAATGATGGGCACACAAATTCTAAGTCAGCTGCAAATCCAAGACTAAATTGTACCTGTCTGTAAAAGAAGCCTGTACTAAACAGAATAAAATCTATGAAAACGGATGAAGCAGCTATGAAAGGATTTTTATTTCATCTCTCAGACAGTCCAGTTCTGAAGAAGAGAGTCCCCTAGGTAATTCTTAAATGCAGCTCATACGCAGTGTAACTGCGGGATTCCTTTTGCACACAGCAGAATGCACTTGTGCACACAAACCATGCCTGCACAAATGCAACCAAGCTTAGATTTCTACTCATAAAAACATGTGGGTTTTTTTATGTAACATACAAAGCATCTTATATACAAGCTTTGAAAGCTATGTTATATATTGCATGCAATATTGTGTAGCATATCTCCAGTATTACTACATATGTGTTATGAACTGATCAGTACTTCAAAATATTTTATGGCAGCATTGTGCAGAATGAGTCTCTTCAGTCTCGAATCAATTCTGTTGGTGGCAAGACCATACTTTTGGTTAAGAAACAGAACCTTTAATTTCTTTCAGTTTCTAGCTTTTACCCCACAATATTCTAGAGATCTTTCAGTATTACTCATTTTCCTTCATATTACTTCCATTGATTAAAAAAAGTTATAAATCAGCTCATTGAAGCTCGTTTAGACCACCATACTAAATTCTAAATCTTTTTGAAACTTAATTTCTTCACAGAAAATGAACTCACGATTTCTCTCTCCATCTTCACACAACATAAATGTTTATGTTCTTAAGAACTTCACAATACTCATGTAAGTACAGTTTACTAATAAATCCTGCCCACTTTGTGTTCTCAATTCATGCCGGGATCAAATCTCTCCCCTTATAACTCACTTGGATACTAGTTTGTTTATGCTAGCCATTAGACTTATGACATAATTCACTTAAAATACAGTGTTCTATGAACTCTATAGCCATACATAGAACTGCTACTTCTGCATTTTCATCACTCAACAATTAATCTCATTAATTCTTCATGAAGCTATACAAAATGAATTTTTTCTGCACTTAGACATTTAAAAACATCACCATTATGGCTACAGAATCACACACAAAGACTCTGAGATCTAGCTTATCCCACTACTTTTCAAAAGCACGTTGCATACATAATGCAGAAAAAAAACTCTCCAATTATGACAAAGGTCTACAAATACTTCTATCATCCCACTGAAGTCTTAGAGAAGTAGCCTAAATGTCCATATCAAAATTATTATGCATTATAGAAAATCTGCAAGAAAATTTCTATGCAAGTGTTGAGCCGACCTGTACTAAGGCTAAGATACAGCAAACTTGTGTATTAACCAGACATCATATTCCTCATCAAGAAAAAAAAAAAAAGGCAGAGGGATTCACAATTAGCAATAAAACCCCATTTACTAGCAATAAAAACATACAAGAAAAACTGGGGCAAGAGGAAATTACTAGGCTTTTTGGACTAGTCTGTTTCCTACTACCCTCACTAAAATAGTAAAAGGACTGGTTATATTAGATGTTTTGGCTAGATAAATTAGAGGAAATATTTTGAGGTTTGCTATGCAGTACTCTGTTACAACTCCCTGTCAAACCCGCAGAACAGAAAAAAAAAGAAATTCTTCTGCCAAAAGCACATGACAATAGGAATCTACTTTCTTGAACACAGAGGCTTCTAGCATCAGAGTACAGTAAATAACTATCAAGCACAAACTAACTATTTAAGAAATAAGACAAATCAACACAGTACAAGAAAGTGGAGAACCTATACCGATGATCTGGAAAACATATAAGTCCTCCCTCCCTCCACCGGTGACCCCAGACATACTACATTGCCCAAACTGTTCTGCAATGTCTTGTTTTA